CCCTGGCTGTCATACCTGGGTGGAATCACCACCCTGCATCCGGCTCCTTGCAGGGGGCTCCTGAGGGGCAGCGGAGGAGGAAGAGTCAGGTGGGGATATGGGGAAGGGCAGAGGTTTCCAGGGTGTTAGGATCTTCTGCGAAGATTCGCATGAACTGGATCGCAAGACACTGCCTTTTGTATTCTGCCTGACACCCACCCTCCCCAGCACGATATGTGACATGTGCTCAGCCATCACTTCGTTTATCAGTGCCCCAGGAGCGACCCAGGCCAGGTTTATTGAACCTGAACTAAGCCATAGATGAGAAGGGGGCACCTGGAGTCTGGGCAGAGGAGGAGCGGTCTTGGAGAGTGCAAAGTGCCGTCTGCGGGCCTCTCCCCCATGTTTTCTCTGTTGAACTGGGCAAAGCAGACTGATGGGCCCCTCCGCCCACCCTGTCTCTTGATCTCTTCTAGTTCCCACGGTCCCCCCAGGCAATGTGCATGCAGAAGCCACCAATTCCACGACCATCCGCTTCACCTGGAACGCCCCCAGCCCCCAGTTCATCAATGGCATCAACCAGGGCTACAAGGTATGCCGCAGGAGGAGGCCGTGAGGGTCTGGGGCGTGCAGGAAAGGCAAGGGATGAGCAGGAGGGGGTCCCTTCTGTCTGAACTCCTGGTCTCAAGCCAAGCGGAGGGCACACAAGCTTCCTCCAACGAACCGTGGCCAGGGCCCAGCTGTGACCAGGGCAGAGGCCATGTACAGTGACACTGAAACGTAGATAAGCCAGGTTTACTCAGGCCCAGCACCCCTGGTGTAGCCAGGACCCAAAGCAAAAACCCAACACTCACTTCATACATCGCTGTGTAGCTCTGACTGGCATCCTGCTGGGGCAGGTCCTTGGGCTGTATGTGGTGAAGGGTGCAAGATTAGAGCTCAGGGCCAATCCTGCCTTCCCCTCTGGCTAGCTACCTGGACAAGCTGTTCCACATGCCTGTGCTTCAGTCTGTCCATAAATATTTATTGAGCACCTACTATATGCACTGCACTGGCTGCTGGGAACTTCAATGTGGTTTCCCCGTTGGCAAATGAGGATGGTAATACCCGTTCCTTAGAGTAGTTGAGGATTAAATGCGATGATATCTGGACCCAACACAGTGACGAACACATTACAAACACTCAGAAAACGATTTTGGCAGTAGTCATGCATTTGTTTGCTCAACCTGCTGTCACAAAGTGGTGGCTTAAACCACAGACGTAAGTTTTCTCACAGATCGAAGCGTCAACAGATTTGGCTTCTTGTGTGCCCTCTACCCTTGGCTTGCGGGTGCCGCCTGCTCCCTTTGTCCTCCCTCATGGGTGCCTGCGGCTGATCATCTCTTACCCCAAGGAGACACCAGTCACATTGGATCAGGGCCAGTCCTGGGGACCTCAGTCACTTTAATCACCTCTTTAAGGGCCCTGTCTGCCAATATGATCACCTTCTGAGGCGCTGGGGTTAGAAGTGCAGCTCAGGAAGTCTGTGAGGATGCAGATGTAGCTCATAATATCTATGACAGCGGTTGTAAGTAGCCCAGGAAATGTGTTACAGCTGTAACTGTGCTGCAGGTCAGCGCTTCTCAATCACCGCCTCCTGGAACCCCACCCTGGGATCCCAGACCTGCGTCTCCCCTCTCCTGGCCCGAGGCGCCCTTCGAGAACTGAAGGCAAATCACGTGTGCATGGTCTATACGATATTTTTAAGGAATATCACCTGCCCCCAGCACTTGTGGCAAGTTCGAGCTGCTGTCTGCTCCCTCCGAATGTGGGGCTCCCTCTAGGTTAGGGAATGGAAGTGGGTTTTTTGGAGGGCTGTACCTCTCAGGGAAAGCCAGGGAAGACTCGGGGAGAGCTGCAAGCTCCGGGGGACCTGGTGACTTTGAGGCGACTGCCGCCACATGTTGAAGCCTCACGTGCCCCTCTGCACTGTGTTTGCTGCGTGGGCCATCACCAAGATCAACCCCAGGACAAGCCGCCTTAGGCTTTATCACTGCAAGGCGGGGGCGGCTGGACAGGAAAGGAATGGGTTGCAGTTGCAAATTCAATTTTCCACTTATGTTGCAAGCACAGAAGGGCAAGTCCAGAGCCGGGTGGACCTGCCCCGGCCACGGCCCTCTCACTCCCAGGAAGGCAGCCAACCCAAGGCTGCGGAGCCTCCCCGGGGCAGGGTGCTGCAGCCCTACGTGCCTGTGCTAGCTGACTGGAACAGGCTCCTAATTGGGACCCGGGGGAAGGCGAGGGAGGGAAGGAGGGGGCCCGCATTGCTGGAGCACAGGAACTGAGCTGGGAACAATTAGCCTCTCTCAGCCAAGTGTAAGCACAAGTTTTATTATACATATGGGAGGACTGAGCTATACACTTCTAAAGCAAACAGCTCCCTAGGGGCCAGAAGGCCGGCCAGTGGCCAGGACAATTAGAACAACGGCCCATGGTGACCCAGAGTGGGAGGAGGCTACAGAAGTCCCCTCAACCCCCTGATTCCCAGGCCTAGCCGGTGCCCCACATCCAGTAGCCACTGCGGGAGGACCAGTGGGAATGAAGTGCTTGATGTTCTCAGTGCAGAAGCAGAGGGAAGAACAAGAGGGGGATGCACTTAAGGGGTACTTCCTGTGCGCCAGGCACGTGCTGTGTGCGTCACTCTGCCTTCTTGTGCATCCTGCGCCAGAACCCCAACATAAAAGTATTATGATCATGACCTCAGTTTTCCAGAGGACGAAGCTGAGGCAGGAAAGGGAGGTCACATATTCAAGGACAAACGATAACTGCCAAAAGTCAGGCTCAAACCAGAGCTTGCACTTTCTCATATTAAAAAAGAAAACACGGGCATGATGGCAAATGTCTGTATTCCCACCTACTTGGAGGTTGAGGCAGGAAGATTACAAGTTCAAGGCCAGCCTAGGCAACTTAGCAAAGCCCTGTCTCAAAAAATAAAATGGGCTGGAGATGTAACCCAGCAGAAGAGCACCCCTGAGGTCAATCCCCAGTACCACAAAAAAGAATTATCGTTTACTTGTAAAATAACAACTATAACTTAATATTGTTGCACAAAAAAAAAAAAAAGAACAAACGTGGGGATTTTTTTTCTGCTTCTTTGGCCTTTAGTGGATTTATCCAAGGAAGAAAAATAAAGCAGTGCTTGCCCCTCGTATACAGACAATAAGAATGGGTGTCCCCCTTACTGTTTTAATTGTGAAAATTGTCAAATATCCACCAAAGTTAAGGGAAGCCCACTGATGAACCCAGATACCCACCCCAGCCTCAACAATGAACAGCTCACACCTGAGTGTGTTCCTTCTAGTCCCTGCGCTCTGCCTCTGCCCTGGAATGTTCTGAAGATAATCTCAGGCGATGTATCATGTCATCCTTAAATGCTTCTGTAGAGAAAGATTACAGATAAGGTCTCTATTTAAAACAAAACCACAATAACCGCATTATCATTAGCATTCCTAAAAATATCAACAGTCCCTTTAATGCCATTAGACACCCAGCCAGCCTGCAAATGTCTTTGCCACGTCGTTTCTGCCGCTGGTTTGTTTATTTGCTCCAAGAGCTAAATGAAATCACACAATTGCAATTGGTTGGGGTTTTGGGGAGTATTTTTTGGTTTTGTTTTTTTTGTTTTTTTTTTAAGCTTCAGTGAATCTATAGATTCTCTCTCTGTCTCTCATCCCTTTCTTTCTTGTTTTTCTTGTAATTTATTTAGTGAAGAAACGTAGTCATTTGTCCTATAGAATTTTGCACAGCCTGGATTTTGTTGATTGCAACCCCACAGGGTCACTTAACACATTCCTCCGAACACTGTATTTGCAGTAAATTAGAACGTAGAGGATGAGGCTGGTCAGATTGAGGCTTGAGAGATTTTTGGGGGTTTTTTTTTGGTTTTTTTCCAAAATAACTTCCTAGATGGTGGTGTGTATTTCCATCAGACGGTGCAGAGTCTGGTTGTCTCTCTTATTGTGATATCGTCACATTGGTAGCCCCTGTGCAGTCTGTTATCTCAATCGTGGCTGAAAAACAGAGATTGGCAAATACAATTTTTTTTAGTCATTAGCTTTTTTAAAGTTTTTGTGGTACTGGGGATTGAACCCTGGATCTTCATCCTGAGTCACATCCCCAGCTCCCCTTCTCTTTTTTGAGACAGGGTCTTGTTAAGTTGCTAAATTATGCAGGTTGGGCTGAAAGTTGCGATTCTCCTGCCTCCGCCTCTGAAAATGCTGGAATTGCAGGTGTGCATCACCACATCCAGCTTGAAATGCTCTTTTTAGATAAAAAATAAATCATGTTTCCCTTTATTAATTTTTTTGGCTGCCTGAACATTGAGTTCATTTAGGAAAACCATAATGAGTACTTCTTTCTTTTTCATTGTTTACCAATTTTCAATATGATGAATTGGTTTTTAGTACATATCTTCTTAGGTGACAGGTAAATTTGGGTTGGCAGGAGGTATCTTTTGGTTTTGTTTGCTTCTGTTAGTATTACTATGTACTTAAGAATTTTTTCTAATCCAACTAATGTTTCAGTCCACTACCATTGTTATTCTTAGTGATGCCAGATTAGCCCATCATTGGCCCCTTCCCATTGGCTCATGAATGCTTTGCAACATAGCCCCAGGAGTCTTGAAGAACTTTCTTGCTTCCCAATATGACAAGATGTTCTAAGCTACATAAATT